TTTAATTATAGTGGATAGATAAAAGTAGTGTAATGACATTTTTGTCCTTATTTTTTGGTATAAAAATAATGATGTGATGTAAAATAAGAGTATTTGTGGAAAAAAGTGGGGTATTTAATGAAATATTTACTTTGTAATTGGACGTCCCAAAATAAAAATCTGTATACTTTGTAGCTGGACGGAGGGAGTATTTTTTATATATATATTACCAATTTTTCATTTATGTACCGTTAATAAAGTGATGTTTAATTTCTATACACATTATGGTTATAATCAAACTATATTTTTAAGAGTACATGTTTATTTTTGGAATTGAATTTATTATATATTTTTATTTACAATTTTATTAAAAATATATATTAATAACGCGAGAATTTACACCGTTATTATTGGAGTGCACTCTGGATAAATTTATGGCCATGTAAAAATTTATATATTTTAGAATATAAAGTTAAATATTTTATCCTTCTCAGCTAATTTGTCGGCATATAATTTTATGTATGATATAATTAGAAAGTAATTAAAAATTGTATTCATAAAAATAATTATGATATAATAAAATAATTATAGATTAAAATTAAATTATTTAAATTAAAATAAAAAATTATAATATAATTATATTTTCAAAATGAAAAATAACATTATATGAGATGAACAGAAATAAAAATAGTAGATAAATTAAATGGAACGAATAGAATAATAAAATACTCCCTCCGTCCCAGATACCATGTCCACGTTGCCGTTTCTGTCCGTCCAACATACCATGTTATTTTCCTTTTTTGAAAAATAATTACACACTTTAATCTCATTTTAAAATTTAAATTTTTTTTTTAATTTTAATTAAACTAATTAGTTATCTTAATCTTAATTTATAATTATTTATATTATAGGATAATTATTTTTACTAATACATTCTTAATTATCTACTAATTATATTTATCTTAAATTACTGTGTCTACGGTGACCCAGACATCCAATGTGGAACGAAGGGAGTACCTACTAATTATACTTTATCTAAATTCTCGTATCTAGTAGGACGAATAGAGTGATATATTATGGGTGTGTGATCGGGATTTGAGTTTTAAATTGATTTTTTAATAATAAAAATTTAAATCAAAATAATTATTTAATATGATATTTTAAATTTATTTTATTTTATTTTTTATTATATACAAAATTTAACTTGTTATTTTTAAAGAATTTATCTTTTTTGAACTATAATATAAATTCTTCAAAAAATCTCAATTAACACAAAATTTTTTCTTTTTAAAATATCTTGAAAATGACTAGTGTTGATGCCTACTTTTTATTAAAAAATATATATATTTTTATTTTTATTTAACTCATTTAAATATATATATCTAATGTGTTTACAGTGTAGCAGACACAGTGTCTGAGACGGAGGGAGTAATATAAAATGAACCAACAAATAAAAGAAAATAGAAGTATAGCATTGGGGTGGCTGCCCATGCATTGACTAAATCTTTACGGTCAAACATGTCAAATATTGACGGCTAATGGTTATGGTCAAATATATGGACCGGCAAAAGTTTTGAATTTACTATCGGGTTTGGTTTTGTTGCTGTTCTAAATTGATTTGAAATAAAGACTTGATTTAATTTTTTTTTATATAATATTCACTCTGTCCAATTTTTATTGTTATAAAGTATATTTATAAAAAATTTTTAAGATCTTTTTGTTATAAATTGACAAATTTGTCCTTGATTGTATAGTAGAGATAAAAAGTAATAAATAAACGAAATGTAAAAATGTAAAATTTGTGTTTAAAAAATGAAATAGGACAATAGTTGTTGGACGTCCCAAATAGAAAAATAGGACATTAGTTTGTGGACAGAGGGAGTATTTATTTATCTGCTTCCTACATTTCTTTTTTATGGTTGTTTAATTGTAAAATAATTATTTAAAAAATATTTTATTTTTTTATAAATATTTATACTTTAGCATCATATTATATATTTTTTTTATTTGTGTTTGAAAGTGTTTGTACTAAAATATAATTTTAAAAAATATCGTATATGTTTTATAATTTTTTAAAAAAAGTAATCACAACAAATATTTTTTATAAATTTTCATTCGTTAAAACTTTTTTTTTTTATCCGATTAATTATTATTCTTATTTCATCCATTCATATATCTATAATTTTTTTTTACCGAATAGAAGAATTTATTTTCATTCCTTGCTCAATTTTATTTTTCTCCATTCTATTTTTTATTCTCATTTCTTTGCAATTCCATTATCCATACCAAATGCCCCTTTAGAGTAGTAAATAGAAATATTCTCTGCTTCATATCCACATTTACTTTATCGTTTTTCTTTTCACATTTTATGTCTTTTTAAAAATAAAAAATAAAAATTACACACTTTAATTTTATTTTAAATTTTAGTTAGATTAATTAATTATTTTAATTTATAATTATTTGTATAATATATTTTTAATTATTTACTAACTATACTTAATTATATGTCAATGGCAACATGTACACCGTAAACGGGACGAATAAAGTAATAATATGCATGTGATATGATATTGTTGTAAAAAATCGCCACCGACGACTTTTTCGAGAAGACCCTATCGGAATTAATTTACTCGTAGGATTTTTCGGCCTCGTTTAAGATATGATCTGAATCTGATAATGTGGAATGATGCTAATATCATCTTGGATATTGTTATCCACTTTTTGAATAAAATTTTATATTTTAGATTCTATCAAACAAATTTTCCGCTCAATCTACAAATAATTTTATGTTTAACTATTTTACTACATCCACGAGCTGACCTCCTCCATGAGCTGCTACATGGGCCGGATCGGTCTTGATTGGGCCACATTATTGTTTGATTTGGGCTTATAACTGTAAGAAATAAGTCTGGTTCTTTCCTTTTTTATGAATTAGAAGTATAAATAAATAGTTGTATATAATATTTTAAATAATATAAAGAATTTTTTATATAATATTTTAAATAGAAAGATGTATTTCATAGTATTTTTTTTTTTTCAAGTCAAAACATGCCAAAATATTTTTGGAATTTTTTTGATTGTGTTTTGTGTCAATTTCTCCAATATATATATTTTTTGTTTATTTATAATAATTTTATATTACTTTGTAAAATTCATGGAAGTATTAAATATTTTTCATTCAACTTATTCAAATAATTATTAAATTTCAAGAGTTTTATATTTAAAAAACACAAAAAAAAAAAAAAACTTTTCACGATTTGTTTTATTGTATTTTTGAATATTATATACAATTGTATATTATGCAAAATATAATATTCAAGATTTATTTATTTTAAAATAATACAAACAAAATATGCATTAATACCAATTTATCGTACATTTTAAATTGCCAAGTTTTATTTGTATTTAAATATTTCATAGTTACTATTATTGTGGAGAGTTGACAATATACGTTATAACTAGATATGGGTTGATTCATCAAATTCAAACCCATGCTGACAGTTAGTTACAAAGTCAAAATTTTAAGGCTACAAGTTATGACTCACTCCTTTATACTCCTTCGGTCCTATTGAAAATGTGTCATTACGCATATTTTTTAATATTAATATTATATTTTCTTTATTCACAAAAAAAATATACAATTACTTTTGGCACGGTGTTTAAGAAATAATTATATTTTAATTATAGTGGGTAGTTAAAGGTAGTGTAATGACATTTTTGCCCTTGCTTTTTGGTATAAAAGTAATGATGTGATGTAAAGTAGGGGTATTTGTGAAAAAAAGTAAGGTATTTAATGAAATGTTTACTTTGTAATTGGACGTCCCAAAATAAAAACGTGTATACTTTCTAGCTGGACGGAGGGAATATTAAATTATAATAAAAAAAAATAAAAATATCTCTACTAGATCAGTGTAATATAAAAGTAACGATATTTATGTAATATAATGTAAGTTGAAAGAATATTTATTATACTATGTAGGTAGTACAATTATTAAATTAGGAAATGGTAACCTTGTTTTGAGACAGACAAAAATAGAAAATAATAACATTTCAATGGGACGGAGTGAATAATTCTTTTTCTTTTCAAGACTAAACACATTATTTGCTTTTTATTTTATTTTATGAAATTTAAGAAATTTTATGTAATAATAGTTCTATTTTATAGAAAAAAATAAATTTATTTGTAAGATTTTGATTTTGAATTTGAATTTGAATTTTTAATAGTAAAATTATTATAAAAATAGTTGTTTGATTTGATGTTAATATATATTGATGCGATATTTTTAATATAATTAAAATTTAATATAATATAATAAATAAAAATAATTATTTAATTTAATATTATAAATATGAATATAATAAAATCAAAATTAAAACCTAAATAGCAAAAACACACAAAACTTAATTTCTGACTTAGGTTGTTTTTTTTTTTTAAAAAAAATACTTATAATTGGATATTACAAATATATACTGTAAAAATATTGTAATAAAAAATTAGATAAAAATGAATATTGCGAGCATTAAAATTTTGAAAAATTTGATAATAGTTAAAGGTGTGTTTGTCCGTGGGTTTGAGATTTTGACTTTAGATTTTTAATAAATAGTTAAATTTGAATAATTATTTGGTACGATATAAATTGATATTGATGCGATATTGTGAATGTAAAATAAATTTGTAGTATAATATAAAAAAATAATAATAATTATTTGATACGATGTTTTTGGATATAAAAAAATCTCAATAGTAAAAACATGATAAAATTTAAAAAGATCGCAACTTTAGTATTTGATGTAATATTTTATACGAAAAATATTTGATATAATATTTTTTTGAAAATTAAAATAGTTCCGAACATCCAAATATGTTGTTGTCTAAACAAAAACTTATAACTTTGTTTAAATAACAAATTTTAAAAATTTCGACGTTATTTTTTTTTTAAAAAAATATCACATTAAATTTGAAAAAACATATATTTTGTGCTATAAATATAAATACAAATACCGAGATACCAAACCTTCAATCCAATCCAACAATGGCGACGACGATCGATATTCTATTTCTTCTTCCCCCTCTAACAATCCTCCTACTAACCATCATCACATTCACATTTCCACATCGCAGTCAAATTACCAAATTACCCCCAACCCCGCCGCGCCTGCCGCTGATCGGCCACATCCCCCACCTCGCCGGAAAACTCCCCCACCGCGCCCTCGCCGGCCTCGCCCGGAAGTACGGCCCCATCTTACACCTCCACCTCGGACAAGTCCCCGCCGTCCTAATCTCCTCCCCGCCGCTCGCCGGAGAGCTCCTCAAAGTCCAGGACCCGGCCTGCGCCGACCGGCCGGACAGCATCGGAATCCGAATCCTCTGCTACAACAACTCCGACATCGTCTCCAGCCCCTACGGCGGCTACTGGCGGCAGATGCGAAAAATCTGCATCATCGAAATGCTCAGCTCCAAGAACGTCCGATCGTTCTGTCGGATTCGGGAGGACGAGGTTGCCCGTTTCGTTGAATCTATTTTTGCCTCGTCCGCCGCCGGAGAATCGCCGGCGGTCGACGTGTCGGATAGGATTTTCCGGCTGACGAGCTCCGTCGTGAGCAGGGTGGCGTTCGGGCGCGCCGTCGGCGGCCGCGACGAGCTGCTGGGGATGATCGATACGGCGCTGACGATGGCGGTGGGGCTGGAGCTGCCGGATATTTTTCCGGCGTTGAGCGCGGCGGCGAGGGTCCTTAGCTGGAACGAGCGGCGGCTGAGGCGGCTGCAGGGGAAGATCGACGGCGTTCTTGATGGGATATTGGAGGAACACAGACGGCGGCGGAGTGGGGAGTTTGGTGGGGAAGACATCGTCGACGTTTTGGTTAGGGTTAAGGACTCCGGCGACCTGCAGTTTCCGATCACCGATGATCATATCAAAGCCGTTATTCTTGTAAGTCGTTTTCTTGATAATAATAATAATAATTTATTTATTTTTTATAAAAAATATATAATTATACATTATAATGACATTTTAAATTTTATAATTTATAATTTTTTTAATTTTAATTAAAATTATCTTAATTTTTATTTATAATTTCACGCGGAGTAATTTATTAATTACTTACTAATTATAATTTATCTAAATTCCAGTATCTATGTTCACAGAGACACTTTTAGTATGATAAATGGAGTAATATATAATGGGTGTGTGTTCGGGGTTTGAGTTTTAAATTGATTTTTTAATAAAAAAACTTTTGAATCAAACTAATTGTTTAATGTGATATTTTAAATTAATTTTATTTTATTTTTTATTATATACAAAATTTAATTTGTTATTTTTGAAGAATTTCTCTTTTTTGAACTATAATAAAAATTCTTCAAAAACTCCCAATTAACACGCAATTATATCTTTTCAAAATATCTTGAAAATGACTAGTGTTGATGCCTACTTTTCATTCAAAATTATATATATATATATATATATATTCTAAATGCGTTTTTACATTAATAATAAAATATTATTAATTTTTATACAAATTTATTATTTATTGCAAGCAATAAATATCAAATGCAAAACAACATAATTAATGTTTCCAAATGTGTAGGATATGTTTTCCGGTGGTACGGACACATCCTCGACAACTATCGATTGGGCCATGGCAGAGTTGATGAGAAATCCGTCGGCAATGGCAAAGGCCCAAGTAGAAGTTAGAGAAGCCTTCAAGGGAAAAAAGACAATACAAGAAAGCGATATTATCGGACTAAAATACTTGAAACTAATAATTAAGGAAACTTTAAGGTTGCATCCTCCGGTCCCAATAATATTCAGAGCAACCAGAAATGAGTGCGTAGTCGATGAATATATAATTCCCGAAAAATATAAGGTACTAATCAACGTATGGTCAATTGGAAGAGATCCGGCGTATTGGCAACATCCTGAAGCTTTCCAACCCGAAAGATTTGAAAATAGTTCGATAGATTTCTTTGGAAATAATTTTGAGTTTGTTCCATTCGGGAGTGGAAGAAGGATGTGTCCCGGGATTAATTTTGGATTGGCGAATATTGAATTTCCGTTGGCTCAATTATTGTTTCATTTCGACTGGAAAATGCCCGACGGAAAGACACCTGATGATATAGACATGACCGAGGGAAACGGAATTGTTGTGTCGAGGAAGAATGGTCTTTTCTTAATTCCGACACCTTATAATAGTTCTTGACATATAAGGCTCTATTCTTTTAGTCAATTTTCTTGTATTTTGTGTTTTAAATTTAATTTTTAATAAAATATACTCTCTCCGCCTGTATATTGTATCTGCTACATTGTATACAGTGTATTTTAGGAGGGTGTAATTAGTAGATAATTAAGAATGTATTAGTAAAAATAATTATCTTATGATATAAATAATTATAAATTAAGATTAAGATAATTAATTAGTTTAATTAAAATTAAAAAATAAATAAATTAAAAATTTTAAAATGAGATTAAAGTGTAATCATTTTTTAAAAAAGAAAGGTGACTTGGAATGTGAGACGGGCAGGAACGGCAACATGAACATGGTATGTGGAAGTATTATTTTTTCACGTAAAAATATTAAGTGAAATTATTTTATACACCTACATACAAAATATAAACCAAACAAACTACTCTCTCCGTTCTAATATAATAGTCTTGTTTACCATATTTGTCCGTACCAAAATAATAGTATCGTTTTCATAAATAATTATATCATTATAAAACTATCTCTATTTTTTTTATTATTATTATACAATTATTACTACTTTTTACCAAATATTTTTTAAATATCATGTTCAACACAGCAAGACCATAATTTTTGGAAGGAGAGAATATTATATATTGATCATGTTCTTTTGATGTTTGATTTGATTTTTTTAATATGGGAATTCAGGGCAGACATGTCGCCAAATGATGTCTTTTAGTTAACTGCAGGCTGCTTTTTTTTTTTTTTTATTTTTATTTTTTTTTATTTTTTTATTTTATATATATATATTTTTTATTTGTTAAAATTATAAATTGAAATTAAAATTTTTATAATAATTATAGTTTAATAAAATATATAAATATATACTTCCTCCATCCATCCCATTGAAAGGTTGTCATTTTCTATTTTCGTTTGTTCCAAAACAAGGTTACTATTTCCTAAGTTAGTCACTGTACTACATACCTAACATAATAAATACCCTTTCAACTTACATTATATTACACAAATGCCGTTACTTTTATTTACACAATACTAATAGGGGTATTTTCGTCATTTTCACTACAATCTATTATAATACTAATATTTATAATCTACTTGCAAAAAGCAAACGCCACCCTTATTACGAGATGGAGAGAATACGTGATTTCGTAGAGAATAAATTTTTTTATAATATAAATAAATAAAAATTTAAAATATATATGTAAATATAATATAAATTTATAATTAAATTATACAAATTAATACACATTTATATTATTATATTTATTACTTATCAAAACCCTCCAATCTAAACCAACATATATACAAAATAAATACAAAAATTCAAACATATCTAAATTTTTAAATAAAAATCAAATTCAAATCCAATTTTTTCCAAACAGACTAAAAAAACACATTCTCAGTTGTTATTATTTTTATTATTTTTAGTAAAAATTTATACATTTTAATCAAATATTGTATTAATATTATTTATATTAAAATACAAAATTCAAATAAAAATAAACTATTCATATTATATTTTAAAAAATGAAACTTCGTTTACTCAAAAAATGAAAATAAATAAATAAATAAATAATAAAAAATAATCTAATAAGAAATTTGAATATATATAATATTGATATATTCTATTCTCTTGTAAAATTCAACAAATTCAAAAAAAAAAAAATCAAATTAAAATAGTACAAACAAAAATTCAAATCATAATTTAATCTCAACTATTTATTAATATAAATATATATTGAACATTGAAAATATAAAAATAGGAAAATTATCGATTTTTTCATAACATAATTAATTAAATTTAAAAAAATCCAAAAAATTCAACACTTTCATTGATTTATTTGTTTTTATTTTTGTACTGCATGTACTGCATCTTGTACGTACGCATGTGTACTAATATTTTTATTATAAGTATTTTCATCGGGACGTAACATACATTATTCAATTTAGTCAATTACTTAAAATATCTTGAGTTAGATCATACAAACAATAAATCACTAATATTATTTTAATTAAAAATACTTCAAACTAAAAAGAAAATGAAAATATTTCCAAATCAAATCATTTAAAATATTTTACTATCACTGTTACTGTAATTAATATGTAGATTCATATTTTCAACTTATTCCTATATATATATATTTTTTAAACTTATTGGAAACGTTACAATATATTTATTAAAAATTTAAATTTTACTGTACATAACAAATCGACGTCGTTCCAATTTCATACTACAAATTGAAGCAACTTTTGGCCCCAAATCCCGCCGGCACCGGTGCAGGCAGCGGCGGCGCAGCCTGATGGAATCCGGTGGCCTCCCATCGCCGCCGCGCCGACGGCCGGGGGAGATTCTCAGGGACGATGGTCTCGAGCGAATTGGCCCGCCATGGCTGGCAACCCCGTCGGTCGCTCCACCTCTGCACTCTCACGATCCTCGCCGACTCCGACTGCAAATCAGTCGCCGCCGCGGCGCTTTCCTGAGCTCCGAAACTTCCAATTTCGAGACCGATTATCGCGCAGCAGGTCAGCCCTACTAAACACCCGCTCTTCCATTTCCCTTCCCAAATTTGAGAACTGTCACCCACCAAGTGTTCGACGAATTGTCACAATAAGAATCACTTCTATAAACTTAATTTTTTAAAATCAATTGCATGATCTGTAGAACCATTAATGATTACCTTGGTAGTTGTGACGATGTTGGAATTGGTGGTGTGGGATTGGAAGGAGAAGGAGGAGACGAAAGATTGAGGGAGCAATAGATTGTTGAAAACGCCATTCCTGTAAACAGACTAGAATCCTGAATCCCCTTCTTCTTCTTCTTGAAAATATTTAGATAGAATTAGAATTAGAATTAGAGACGTATATATACAGGAATAGGTAAAAAAGAAAGGGGCTTTGAGGTTTAAACAGACAAGAATTGAATTTGCTTGATGTCTTGTAAGTCGTCCTCTCCTCTGGTTTGATTGGAGTGGAAAGATGTACTTTCCTTTTTCTTTTTGTACATGGAGGAAGAAGAAGTTGCAGTACACGTTCCAATTTGGTTATTTTGTTTTCATTCGGATCCTGATATTTATTTATTTTATTTTTGTTTATTACTACTAAATATTATGCACACTAGAGGAGAAGAAGAAGAAGAAACTGAACAAGAAAGAAGAATGAGAAAGACAATTGGAACTGTTATATATTTTGGCCCGTGATAATTGGGCGGGTTGGTTGTGTGCATTCTAGGCCTCAATTATCACGGGCCAAAATATATAACAAATCTCCACCTTATTTTGGGCGTGGAAGATTGTTTTCTCGGGTGTCATCACGGTCCGAACTTTCATTGCTTCCTTATATTTTAGTTCATGTTAAAAAACAGTTCATTTTAGCCTATTGTTGAATTACTCTCCTGCACAAAGAAAATTGAAATCAAGTTAGGTTTAAGACAATATGAAAACCTAATATGATACATAATAAAACCTACAGCTACACACAAGTAGCACCGGCTAATCAAATGTATCAAAGCATACAATTTTCACACAAGATACAAACATATCAACTTTCCAAAGCATTGTATCTTCACCAATAGGATTATACTCAAATTCAACAATTAACAAAGCTACTAAACATTGTAATTGTGTCTTACAACAAGAACATGCATCACACAATATACAAACACGAAAAACAGCAAGCTTTCTAGAGCACATATCATTTACAATCAATGATAACAAATCACCACCAAAGCAATCATAATGTTTAGGAACTACATTCAAATTTTCATTCTTAAGTAATGAGTTCATATCTTCTTTTAAAGCTTCAAAACATTGACACTTATACCAAGAATTACTTGTCTCCCTAACAATCATAGGTTCATTCACATGTAAGTCATCAAACATACAACAAGCTAAAGAAGATAACTTCAAATTACCAAACATAGAGAACAATATAGGACTCTTCCTAACTCCATCTCTAACAAATAGGTAATTTTCAATCTCATCTTTCTCATTTAAATCAGTTCCAACATTGCTTTCAATTTCAGAAACTGAATTTTCAAAATTTTCCTTAATATGCTGCCCAGCAGCAACACCAATTTGAAAATCATCAACAAAGATTTCAGTTTCACTGTTTCTATCTAACTCCACCATATTTTGACCACAATTGTCAAAATCAGCAATAACAACATTTTCGTTTAAAGAATCAAAGTGTTGCTCAGCAGCAGTTTTCACACACAAAACAGAATCAGAAATCATATCAGCATTAACTAAAATGTCATAATGCACACAATCTGATTCACAACAAGTATTATCTACATGTATTTCACAAAACTGCACATATTTGTAATCAACAACAACTTTTTGACTTTCAAAAGACTTGCAAAGAAAATCAGTGTTATTCTTTTCAACCTCATAATCAAATTCAACATCAATTTGCACAGTATCAACAGATTTAGCACGAATTTCAGATTCAAGATCAATATTAAGAGGTTTATCATCACAAGAACATACTTCTTCACTTACAACATGCATTTCAGCAACAAATTGCACATTCAGTGCACATTCAGAATCAGTATCAGCATTATTTAAATCATCAAAATGCACATTTTCTGATTCACAATCAGTATCAACTGTATTTACATCACAAGACTGCATTTCTTCAAAATTAAATTCATGAATTACAGCAGGCTTAGCACAAAATACAGAAACATTTTTGTCCTCAACATCAACTTTTCTGTTTTTAAAAACAGTTTGTGTTTCAGCAGCAGAACAAACACAAGAATCAATTTCAGAATCCATATCAACAATTTTAGAATTATCAAATTGTATACTTTCAGATTCACTCCTAATCTGCTGTTTGACAGAACAAAAATTAGAATTAAAGTGTTCATTTTCTCCCTCTTCTATCTCAACTTTATCATGCTCCACCTTATTTCGAGTATTATAACAATCAGTGTTTATTTCACTAAAATCAGAAACAACATATTCAAATTCAGATTTTTCTACATTCAAACATGGCATTTCACATTCATTGAATGTCACATTATTTCTAAAAATAGTTTTAAATCCGGGTCTAGAACAAAGCCACAATCTATACCCCATAACACCATAACCTAAGAAAACACAATTTTCAGTTTTCAAATCAAAACCATCATTGCAAACATGTATTAAAGCAGAACACCCAAATACACGAACATTAGAAATGTCGACTCTTCTACCCAACCATTTACTTTCGGGACATACACCTTTAAGGGGGATAGAGGGTGATCTATTTATCAAATATGTTGCTGTAACTACAGCTTCACCCCAAAACATTTCGGGTAAGCCGGATGAAGTCAAAAGATTTCTAACCCTTTCCAAAAGGGTCCAGCTCATCCTCTCGGCCACCCCATTGAATTGGGGTGCCATGGGGACTGTTTTAATCATTTTAATACTATTTTGCACACAAAAGTTATCAAACCAGGTGTTACAAAAGTTTAAACTATTTTCAGTTTGAAGACATTTCATTTTTCTGCCCGTTTCAGTTTCAACTTGAATTTTCCAATTCTTAAAAAACCCAAAAACTTCAGATTTATTTTTCATTAAGAAAACCCAAGTTTTTCTTGAAAAATCATCAACAATGGTTAAAAAATATCTAGAACCACCAAAAGTGGACTCACAAGAGGGACCCCACAAATCACAATATATATATTCCAAGATATATTTAGAGCATTCACGTTTTTCAACATGGGGTAAGGAAAAATGGACTTTAGTTTGTTTATTATCAACACAATTTTCACAATATTGCACAGCTGAAAACATATCATTGCCAAAATATCCAGATTTTTGCAATATTTCTAAACCTCTATTGCTTAAATGACCTAACCTTTTATGCCACAAAAACATTTTATTTTCAGAAATAGAATTAATGGAACAAGCAGGCATAATCATAGGATCAGCTTGGGTCACATAGAAATTATTTTTCCTTTCAGCTTTAAAAACAACTAAAGATCCTTTTATAACTTTCATAAAATCAGGCCCCCATTTACCCTCAAGACCTAATTCGGCTAAGAATGCACAAGACAACATATTACTTGACAATTCTGGAACATGCCTCACATTATTTAATTTCAATACAAAACCAGAATTAAATTTCAAATTTATGCTACCAATTCCAAGCACATTGCACACATGATTATTAGCCATAACAACAGTGCAATTTTCTAACATTTTGTATTCACAGAAAATTGATCTTAATGGAGTCATGTGATAAGAACAAGCCGAATCAATCAACCATTCATTTTCTAACATAGGTAAACAATTAGACCTAACAGCAAATATATCCCCTAACTTTCCCTCAAGAACTGTCATATTGGCTAACACACTTACTTGCTAAATCAGCTTCGGAAAACAGTTTGTTTTGAAAGATTTTTGGAAAAACAGTTTGTTTAAAAAACAAACACAATCAAACCAAAAGCAAACAACCACAGAAAATTGCACACAATAGGCAAGGGATTTAGAATTTACCCTCGAAGCACAGCAACAATTTTTCCTACAAAAAACAACAAGGGAAAATACAGAAAACCTATTTCTCTTTCGAGATAAGGGATTAGCCAATGGGAAAAACAGACCACTTAATATACTCACGGGATATAAAGCACAAGAAAGAATGGTACAAGTACAAAGAGAAAATACAGCAACTCAACTTAACTGATTTTAATAAAAAACAGTTTTGATTTTAACAATTCTCAATCAAACCAGCTATGATTTTCTCAAATTTAACCAAAACAGTGGCGGTTCCAAACAATTTCAAAACCAAGAACAATGGTTGTTTTACAATTCTTAAAAGATTTTAACAAACTTTCAAAATAATTGAAAAATCTTTTAAATCTAAAACCGACCAAAGGCAATACAATCAGAAATAAGGCAAAGCATCAATTGTTCAACAATCTATTTTCACAACCAAGGCTTCACCAAAATAGATTTGACAATTAGGCAAGTAACACACAAATCAGTTACTGCACAACCCAAAAAGAGATAGCAAACAACACAAGTAGAACACAAAACAGTTACTACTTCAAAAATAGAGGGATAAGCTATTCGTTACCCACTCCTAGCTCCGCAACAGTTGTTTGACTGTCTATTAGAATCTTTTCCGATGTCAACCTGTTACATTCTTGGTTGATTAGGCTGTTGGTTAGTATAGTCCTGTATTGTGCCATCCAAACTATACTAATTTGTGTATTGAGTGCGCAGTTTAAAAGGAGATTTGTTATATATTTTGGCCCGTGATAATTGAGGCCTAGAATGCACACAACCAACCCGCCCAAATTGAAGCCCGGACCCGGCAACCCACTACCCGACCCAATCTTTTGAGAGACTCGTCGGTTCGCAAGCTGCCTGGCTTTGATCCGGGCTGGACCGGTTTGAACCGGTCTGGACCGCTGGTCTGTTCTGTCCTATATATATAGGCTGATCCATTGAACCGGTTCACACTTCATTCCAGAACATACGATACATAACAGAACCTTCTCGCGATTCTTCTCTCATGCCCTAGGCGATTCCTTCGTCATCGCGTCTGCCTTCTCCGGTGAATCTGTCCGGCGAGTTGGGAGTTCCTCTTCCCCGTTGATGCGCGCCTCTTCCCTCGGTGTTTCTACGGTTTGGTTTAATCGATTTGTGCCTTTATGTGTGTCTCGCGATGTATATGCTGTTCGCGGTGTGATAGGCTTGAAATCGATTGTGTTTCCGTAGATAAGGGTTCGGGTTTGTGTGTTTGTTGCGTTTCCGTGGCGTGTCGTTTGTAGTTGGGTCTTGGATGTGTGATTGATGTCGGTTGGTTTGATATTAGGGTAAACTGAGTTTGAACTGTTGCTTCCGTAATAAATCAAAGTTTTCTTTAAGTTTTCTTCGATGTTAATTTGATTTCGAGAGAATATAGCCTATTGGATCTTGGATTAGTAGTAACAGGAACACGCATGAAAGACTGACGAGGTACTGCTCTCGTGTCTTTTTCGTTTTAATTTTAATTTGTTTTTATTTTTTTATTTTATTTCTGTAAATTAATTATTGTTTATAAAATTATTCATAATTTTTATTTTTATTTATATTTTATAATTGATATTTTCAG